TGTCTTGTAATTGGGATGAAGTAAACATCTGTTGAGTAATTTAACATAAAATTGTTTGATAGTGTTAATTTGGAAAGCCAAAACTCTAGCGGGTCCACCAGATCCATGAACACTGGCTGAGTAACAAAAATACGAACACCACACAAGGGTTAAACCTTTTAGACTCTCGTCATTGAATTGTTTCCCCATACATATACATAATTATTATACCATCTCTCTATTCTGACACATGCTGTTTCACAACTCACACTACTCATAACTCAGAAACACCTTCAGATTTTAGATCAGTAATAACATACAACCTTTAACAAGATGAGATTTTTAAACTACATATACAAATGTACAAACTTTAATAGAAAAAAAGGTTTTTGTGAACACTGAGTTTTTTAAATTACTTTCCTAATTAATTATCCACCATCGCCACGGAACAACGGCTACGCCTCCCACCTCGGCTCAACGGAGGCTACCGCGCCTGAGGCTCTGCTGTTTACCCCGGCCGCTTCCTCGTCCCGGAGAAAGCTGCGCACACGCCGCCATAAAACGGACTACTTTCAGCCACTCCCGATGGTGAGCTCCAGTGACTGTTTTTCACACTCACCATCTGATTGTTCACTTAAAACGCACAATAGACTCACTTCTGATTCATGGGGAGTCTCCCTCCTAGACGAGGACGTGGACTGGGAAGAGTTTTTCTGCTCTGCTCCAAAGACTGTAAATAGTGGTGGCAGAAAAACCAGAACAATCCCCAATAAACCTGTCAGTACCACTCACACGCACCAGCCTTACTAGCCCAAGCTGCAGCTTTATCCCCCTCACTAGCTCAGTCTTTAGCTCCGCCATTAGCCGTACCAACCTCAGCTCAGCCATTAGCCTCACCGACCTCTGTTTGTCCATTAGCCTCCTCAGTCCAATCAGTTCACACTCCCGCTCCAGCCCAGCCTGTAGTCCACTCTCCTGCCCTCCTCCAGTCTACTCTCAGGCCCTCCTCCAGTCTACTCTCCTGCCCTCCTCTAGTCCAGTCCCCTCCTGTCCAGCCTGTCTCCCAGTCGCCCGTCCACCATCCTGTTCAGTTCCCGGACCTGCAGCCACAGCACCCAGAGCCAGCTGTGAGCTCTCCTGCTCCTCAGCCAGGGGTTTCCGCACCCGCTGGCCCGGCCTGTCTCCAGCCAGAGGCTTCCGCGCTTGGTCCAGCCTCGGCTTCTGCTTCGCCTGGTCCAGCCGCCGCCACGCCGTCACCCAAGCCACGTTCTGGACGTCATTGCCGCCGCGGCCGCCCACCGGACCTGCTCAGGGGCCGCCGCCCACCTGAACCGTCTCGTCTCGGCTGCCGTCTTCCTCGCGGCCGTCCACCTGACCAGTCTAGTCTCCACACAACGCCTGACACTGTCATTTATGTGTTTTTAGGGGTTCTTGTAAAAAAAATTTCTTAGATTTAAAGGCTCCACTCGCTCTTTTCAGTGAATCATAAAGCTTTAATTCAGAACAAGGAGAATAATAAATTACATTCAGAATATTAAAACGTGGAGACAGAGATGGAGAACACAGGAGGGAACAGGAACTATAAACAAAGGCTGCAACAAAACCAATAAATGACAAGAATCATGAAGTAAAATTATTATTATTATTATTGTTGTTATTACAAATTAAAGTCATTTTGCTCCTGGGAAAGACAATAAAGGCCGAGAAACGCATAAGCTGGAATCAACCCAGCTGTAGGTGGTTACCTGCTTTGAAGCTGCACACAATATAAAATCAGCTGCTGTGATCTTTGTTAATGTGTTTTCACAGCAGCTGACATTAAGGGTTTGTTGTGGGCTGCATCAGGCTGAGTCCCTGCACAGCGAGGCACAGAACCTCCAGCAGAACCTCTGGGGGCAGCTCGGGCCGGTCCCAGCCGTCACTCAACTCTTTCAGCTTCTGATCGTTCAAACAGATGAACTCGGCCGCCCAGCGGAGCTCCCCTCCCTCCTGCAGGGGGACGGGCAGGGACTCTGGCAGTTTGGCCCGACTGTCCTTCAGACCATCCACCTGGAGAAGCAGAGAGGGAGCTGTTCTCAGATCAGATTCAAACATGAGGAAGACTCTGCCCACAGGCTGCTGATAGTGGGCGAAGCTGCTGGTGCTGTGCTGTTAAGTGTAGCAGGGTCTGTAAAATCACTGTAAATGTTCACTTGCTTAATTCAGGAAGCCCAACCACGTTCTGCACATATTCTTACAGCAAGCACTTGTGTGGAATAAGGTGCGATGAGGCTTTTGGGAGGAGCATGTAGATGAATGAGTGAATGAACCCACCAGCTGGTTGAGCACTCTCAGAGTGTCTGGACTGCAGCAGGTCAGAAGTGGTGGCACTTCATCTGGCAGAGCTGCACAAACATGAAGAAGAAAGACAACGTTTGATGACGATGTGATGAACTGAAACACTTTGCTTCAGATGTGTTAATAAAATTAAATCTACATGTTACTGGATGGAATAAATGTCTCAGAGCAGGTCAGCTGACTTACTGTCCAATGTGCTGACCAACAGGTGAACAGCATCCTTCACAGCACTGGAGATGTTTGAGATATCAAGAAGGTCCATGAAGGAGGAGACAGCCTCAGACGGGACATGCTCAGAGGTTCCTTTAGTGCACTGGTCCAGCTGAGAGGAGCAGAGGATTATTATTATTATTATTGTTATTGTTATTATAGTTGTTGTTGTTGGGTTGTAGTCATAGAAGTTGTAGTTTCAAACAGGTTTTAAGATTATTTTGTTTCAGTATCACTTTTTCCTCTGATAACTGATGTTTCCCTTTTTATTAACAGCGTTAATGATCAGCAGAACTGTTCGAGCACACATGGAAGACGGCAGGTGGGGTGGCGTTGGGTTACAAAGTGGCCTGCAGAAACTTTGGGCAGCTTGGTTGTGTCTCCCTGAACTACCTCTGTGCTTAGTTTAACATCATAAAGACCAGCCAGCAGGACTGATTTGGCTTCAGATAAAAAGAAGAAAAAACTGTTAAGATGACAAGGAAGTGTATTTTAAAATAAACTGAAATATCCAACACATCTTTAAAAATCGGCAACACCGATGTTTATCTCAGTGTAAGTTGACCAGGCTGCAGTAACTGATGAAGATGGCAATGAGGCTTGAACCTTAGGAGAAGCACACACCAGACTGGTCAATATTCTTCTTACTGTCTGTTCCAGCAGAGAGAGAGTATCTCCGTCCTCAGCAAGCTCGCTGAGCTTCTTCAGCAGATCACGACGGGTCGACTCGGGAAGCTCTCCGAGCGGCAGCAGAAGATGATCCTTCGTCTCCAGTTCTGCAGCAAACACAGAAGCAGCACCAATCATACCATCAGTAAATGAAAGCAGCTTTTTATTGGAACCATAGAAACCAGTTTATTAAGCATCAGGTCTCAATGTCAAATCCCAGCAGACATCAAATTATTTATTAAAACAAGTAAAACATAATCAGGTTTTATGTCTCATGATTTCAGTTTTATTTAACACTTCTCTGAGTAAAACATGACTCATCACTCAAACACTTCATGCATGCGTATCTCACCAGACAAACCTGAATGACCTTCAATCAAAATAAATATTTATTTCAAGTTATTTATTGCAAACACAGATCAAAACAATTCCCATAATCTATTATGATTTCTCACATTGCCATATTTAACGTATTTATACCTGATTGGTTAGTGAGTGGTTCCTGGATGACATGGTGCTGAGCAAAAAACCTCCAAGTGATTGTTTTGGTTCCTAGCAATGATTGTTCAAACAGATGACTTTGGGAGTCCCTGTTACTGCCCATAAAACTGTTTATGTTGCAGATGGCAGTTTTCCATACTATAGTTGGAATACTATAGTATTGGAATAGTTGGAATATACTATCTGTTTTTGCACTTCTCTCCATAATCCTCCTACATCCAATGGCAGAAATGTTAAAGACACATCAATGTGTCTGCTCAACCTAAAGCTACCAACCGAGCGACTTTTTTTCACCTCAGACAGGTGAATGTGCACAAATAAGAAGCGCTCTATTGTTAAATTATGTGGTTATACAGGATCCATCACAGCTACTGAAACATTTCTATTTTACTCTTGGTTTTTTTTACATGTTTATCTCTGATATCATGACGATAAGGAGGAGAGTGACAGAATGAGCCGTTGTCATGTTTAAAATATTGTCAATGCTGATGCAGTGTTATTCAAAAAAATAAATCAATTCTAAAATTGTAAAAGTCACACACACACACACACACACACACACCTTCTTTCACTTTGTGCAGCATCTCTTTGGAGTTGATGGCATCGTTGGCAAACAGACCTGGAAACAAACCTCAGAATGATTAAAGCCACAAACAGAAAAACAGCACAGTGTCTGATAAATGTCTGCTACATCCTAGATGCATGGAGGAGTGTTTCCACAGGTCCTTCCTCCCTGCAGCTGTCAGACTGTGCAATCAAAACTGCTCCCAACAATCATAGATGTTTACATGCGCTGTAACTGCAATAATTTAATCAACTGATTCGCGCTACAACCTGGGTTTGCCATCTGTAGTTAATTTTATTTCATTTAATAACTGTACAGTACTCTGTTTATAGTAACCATTGTCCTTGATGTAAATATGTAAGAAAAAATTGTGTATGTTTTTCTTCTGTGTCCTGTGTACTGTTTGTTTGTATATGTGTCTTTCTGGTTGCTGTTACAACCAAATTTCCCCTTGTGGGACAATTAAAGGATTATTCTATTCTATTCTATTCTATTCTATTCTATTCTAAACTGTCAAACTTGATTTAATCATTCACGCCTCCCAAAAGTAAAGATCAAGGCAAACATGGAATCAAGACTAAATCTGACATTTATAAATGAAGAAGAAAAACCTTCAACAACAGAATCAACCTACCGAATAAACCTGTTTTATGAGTAAAGGGTTCACATGTGATTTCTAAGATGAGAAAAGAGACATCGTTACATTCAGTAACAGGAAAACACACTAAATCTACTCAGAAACATTAAACACAGTCATGTACTCTTACTCAGCTCCTCATCATCCATCTTTAGCTCCATGAGACCAAAACCAAAGGTGGAGTTTTCCGGCACAGTGAAGCTCGTCACCTCCTTCTTGCTGCCCTAAATACAAATAACACGGTATTGGATCTACTGTGTCATACTGAAACGTCGGTTTGTTCCTCAGACAGATCAGAAGAGTGCTAGAACAACGTCTTAATCATACAACATTAAATACATTAAAATCAGGATTGTGCAGAAACTGTTTGTTTCTGTGGTGAATACTTGTTGCCTTATACAGCATTTAGAAACAAAAAATAAGAACAATGGACTCTCTTGACCTGCTGCTGCTGTTGCGCTGCCATTAGCAGAGCCTCTGGACTATCATTAAAGCTCATAGAATCAGTGAGCTCATAATTATATGCCATGCACTCCAGCAGTCCCGTGTGGGGCACTGTTGGCATTCCAGGCAGCGCTCTGGTTGGTCTGCCTGGGTCCTGGTGCACTTCTCTATCAACCAGGTGCTGGGGCTTTGGCCCGCTGGTGTCTGCTGTAAACTTTATTGTCATCTCTGCTACCAGTGTTGGGAAGGTTACTTTTAAAATGTATTCCATTACAGAATACAGAATACATGCCCCAAAATGTATTCTGTAACGTATTCCGTTACGTTACTCAATGACAGTAACGTATTCTGAATACTTTGGATTACTTAATATATTATCATGCTTTTTACAACAACGTGAATGTACTATTGCTGTGTGATGTATTACTATTACTGAAGGTCCGCGTCTCCGAACTGTAGTAAAGGGACCTCTGACTAATACGGCGGGGTCCCTGTTGGCTCGTAGCCGAAAACTAGCTTTACTTTGTTGTGTGGGTCAACTTTTCTTGCGAGAGACAGAGAGAGGCGTTGAAAGGCTGCTCCAACGGAACTTATTGTTTTCGGAGGAAAACACGAACATGGTGTACAGTCGAGTCTTAATAGCTTACTTACAACTGGGCTCGTCAGGCTCTCTTCTTGGCTGCAGTGGTTATTATTATATTTACATGCTTCCAGCTCCCGTTTTTGCTCGATGACAACTCGTACCTTTCCACTCCCCTTTTTCTCCCTTCTAGCGCTCACAGACACATAACGTGTATTGCAGTCCATTCTCCCAGCAGCACGGACTACACTGCCCATGATGCTACATTCTTTAGAGCTATGCTTGTAGCATTCTGCCTGTTAGCTTAGCACAACAACAACAACAACAACGAAAAGGCGCTCTCTCACCCAGGAAACACACAGTCACAGAGAGAGAGAGCGAGAGAGCGTCGCCATGTAACCATGGCAACTGTAACGCTGCCGCCTGGAACAACAGAACGTAGCTGTCAAACAAAACCCAAACAGTCCTGACCCGCGACAAAATGAAACAGGAAAGTACCGCAGTGTAATCCATTTATTTCAACAAAGTAACTGTATTCTAAATACCACCTTTTTAAACGGTAACTGTAACGGCATACAGTTACTCATATTTTGTATTTTAAATACGTAATGGCGGTACATGTATTCGGTTACTCCCCAACACTGTCTGCTACATATAGTACAGTATATAGCAGAGATGAGACAACGAGGCTCCAGTTCCATTTAGTGCAAAAGAACAACAATAAATACAGGAAGAGCCCATACAGAACTTTTCACTTTCTCTGATGGCTTGTTGTGGTTTCAGGTTAAATTAGTTTGGCTCTATTCCAATGTTCTACAGTACATATTTAATCACCTCATACCATCAAAGTTCAGCTTTCACAGATAAACGTCACATTCACTCACCTTTATAAGAACATGCAGCATCTTCTGACAGGAGGCTGAGATGGACCCACTCTTGTTAGACTTTCGAATCATCTTGACAGGCCCGCTGTTGTAAACTTTCTGGTAAACAAAAGTCAGTTTGTCATTGTCCTTCAGTCCCAGTAACTCCATGTTTTCCTTCTTTATTTTCCTGGAAACAGAAAGCACCAAGAGAGGGAAACAGGTTAGGAACTGTTGGCAAAGTACAGGATGCACATATAGTTAGATGGTATGTGGTGTTTTTAATTACAAGATAAACGTAAGTGAAAGTTAATCGTAATCTTATACACACTGAGCTTATACGTACAGGAGTCACAGAGGGCTGTGGGAGCAACATACAAATAACTACGTGATGATAACCACGATGAATTATTGGAGAGAAGGTTGAACTAGTGACACGTTTAAGTATTTAGGTGTTTACCTGGACTGTCAGATACAGCAGGTTCATCATATGTGGATTTCTAACATTTCTGCTAAGTTCAGTTCCCAATTTCAAAATTTGACTGAAAGGGGTGAGAAGATAATTGGCCTGCTCCCTGAGCCTGCTCCCCGAGCCTGCTCCCCGAGCCTGCTCCCGAGCCTGCTCCCCGAGCTTGCCCTCCAGTATTTCAAGAGTCAGTGATAAAGAAGAGTCTGAAAATCTCTGAAGATATCAGTCATATCCTTTATAAAGAGTATGAGTCAATGTCCTCAGGAAAAAAACAAAACCCTGAGTTAATTGGGTACAAATTTTCTTTAGGTGATGGTGAAATTGTATGTGTGTTACCTGATATTACATGTTACCTATTATATCTCGTGTTTGTCCAAGTGAAATGTCACCCAAGACAATAAAGGCTAATCTAATCTAATATAATCTAATCTAATCTAATCTAATCTAATCTAATCTAATCTAATCTAATCTAATCTAATCTTATCTGATAACCCTTTTAAATTGCCCCCTGCTGGACAAAAGAAAGAATGCAGGCCTGGAAGTTATTTCGATGTTTACAGAAAGTCTGCTGCTGAACTCGAGCAGAGAGATGGACACTTACCTGCCACTGAACTTGTTCCTCAGTTTTTTAATGTCGGCTTTCTTTTTTATAATGCTCACAGGTTGTTCCAGTCCATCCACGGTATCACCAGTTGCCTCAATTTTGGCTTTACCCACAATATCATCTCCCCCACCAATTTCTCCACTTCCCTTTGTCTCCATAGTAGTCGTGAAATCCTTCACCAAGACCTCCTCATTATAATCTGGAAGGAGCATCACATGAGTATGTTGGGTGTGTCTGAGTGGACATGTTTAGATGTCTTTGTGGTGACAGAAAATTGGAATGCTATTATACTTGTGGGGACCAACAGTCCCTTATGGGGACCAAAGGCCCAAGTAAGTGTGTGTGTGTGTGTGTGTGTGTGTGTGTGTGTGTGTGTGTGT